ATCCCCGGTTCCTTGTGTATCACCTTAAGATCACAGGAATCATAATGCCAACCATCCTAAAACATAGACTGTCATTCTGAGAACTCTTCTGAGCTCCTACAAGTCCTACAAAAGCCTTAGGCAGGTGCATCTCAAAAAATGGCTCATTCTTTGACATTTTGCAGCAAAGCAACTGTCTGGTCATAATACCCTCCCGTCACTGCCCTGCTGATGGCCAGGCCTCGCTGAGAGCATGAGGATGTCTCTACAGGATCAGGGCCCTGGGCACTAGAAGGCCCTCCCTTCCCACACACCCAGCGCAACAGGCTGACGGCCCGTCCCAGGAGCCAGCCAGCCAGCCAGAGCATTAACTAGGAAGACTAGTGATGAAGTCTCATCTTCCTGCCAAACCTCCCATTAGCTCCCTCGCATCTCTCCTTCCCTCCACCTCATCTCCCTTCCTTTATTAACTTACTTCCCTATTTCCAGCACCCTCCCCATGCCCTCAGTCTGCAAACTTCCAGACTCCTCTAAATGCTAATTCTTAAGTTGGAGAGTAGTCTGAAGTAAGACCATCCTCTTCTTCTTGAGATTTGGGGCCTGAACCAGGAGGGGTTGCAGGGGATTCCTTATAGTGGGAATGTGACCTTTAAATCTGGGCAGCAAGGTTAATACCAAGGCGTTATCTGAAGATTCATCGCTGGGGCAAGTACAAATCAGGCAGGCAGGATGCCACACACTCATTCAAGTGCCGCTTCCAAGGGCTGTGCAATTTTTCAACCCTGCATTTATACCTAATGCTCATGGAAGGGGTGTTATGGAGCGAAAAGAGAGAGGGAGAGGTGGGCAGGGGGGAGGGGAGGGAGCGAACAGTGAGAAAAGGAGAAGAGGATGAGGGAAAAAGAAACACAGAGGTACAGGCGGAGGGAAAGGCAGATGGGAGGAAATCCACGAGATGGAGAGAGACAAAGGACAATATGTTGCTTGGGTTTATTAGAGGAAAAAAAAATTGCCTGCACCAGAAGCACTGTATCTTAATCAAAGCCTTTATTAAGTTTTGGTAACAAAAAGCTAAGAGTTTTTGCGTCGGCTAATGCATCAAAGGGCAACACTTTCTGTACAGGGAAATTGAAGTAGGGTTTGTGCACCTGTGAGTAGAGCAGAGAAATGGATGCCATGAAAGGTATGGGATTTGGATTAGACCTTTCTAGCCCCTGCACCTACAAAAAGGTCCCTTGAATGGGCAATGACTTCATTTCTGGCATCCTAAATTGCGGAGACAATTGGAATAGCAGTCTGGGACGTCCAAGCTTATTTTGCCTGCTATCGCTCAGGAAGGGAAAGAGACAAGAGGTGTCTTCTGGTTCATTTCCCTCTTCTCGCCATCCACCTATCCTACAATGGCTTCCCGTGTAGTAGCTACGGGAGGGAAGAGAGAACTGAGGCAGCATAACAAGTGTCCTATGCAACCCATGGGCTCCTTCCCTTTCTTTTTGTTGCTAAGGTGGGCAAGCAGATCCTCAGTCCTCCTTTCCCTGATACTGGTGGGCACTGCCTCCAGCTCGTCTCTATACCCATTAGGCACAGAGAGGACCTTACTGGCCTCAGATGGCCAAGCCCACCCAAGTTTATTGCCACAGAAGCACTGGCTGCCCCCACGGTAGTAAGCTAGGTCCTTCCAGCTTTATTTTGACTGAGGAATGCCTTTCCTTTGTGAAGCAGTTACAGAGATACGTTACAGTGCCAACTTTTATACGACAAGCAAGCATCAAGACCAGACTGATCACTAGCCAAAAAGATTACGTGTTTAGGAACTAAAGGTTCACATAAACATTCCCAGATATCCACTGCCAGATGGTAAGGGTTTCAATTTTAGGCAGAAACTGACTTCTTGAATTTAGGTCCAGCTGAAAACAAACCCACCCGGGATCCAAATTGACAGACACTCCATGTCAGGTCTTAACTATGTGTGAAGACAATACAAAGCAACTGGAGAATTCCGTGACACATACCTGCCCCACAGCAACCCCAGCCTAAGTGGAGTGGTACCATCCCTACCCAGACCCTCCAGGCCACGCGATACTTCGGTTGCGCTGGCAGAACAAAGATGGCGACTACGTGGTGTTCTGTTACTGCTCCTCCCCAGATCCACGACAGACTTTGCTATTTTAAATACCTTTCCTGCTGAGCTCAAATATGATCTCAGAATCCTTCCACCCACATGTGGGAGTTGGCACTTGTAATGGAAACTATCTGCCCTCCTTGTTCTAAAAGATCCTCTAGATCTGTAGAACCTGCTACTTCCCAAGTCATTTCTGCATGTCCAGAAGTGACGTTCTGCCATCCATATTTTTACCTCTTTTAAACCCACAGGAATGGCACCAATGCTGGGGAATTTCAGGATCAGTTGTGCAAAAAGAGCATTTCTATGACATACCAATAAAATATTTGGGGAGAGGTCATCTGAAACCTTGAAAGGTCTTCAACCTTTGGGTTGGTCCAATCTACATCAGTGATTTTCAATAGGAGGCAATTTTGACCTCCCAGGGCACATTTGGTGGTGTCTATAGACAATTTTGATCTTTTTAACTGGGAATGCTACTGGCCTCTGGTAAGTCAAGGCGAGGGATGCTGCTAAACATTCTGAAATGCACAGAACAGGCCTGAACAACTAAGAATTATCCCGTCCACCATGCAAGAGTGTCAAGGTTCAGAAACCCTGATGTATATTAAGGTGGAGTATTCAGTGATCGAAAGCATAGTAGAGAATCTTTCATCCAACTCTGTCATGTTACAAAGAACCTAAGATCCAGACAAAAGTCTGTGCAGACAGCTAAGCAGAATTAGCGAATAACCCCATACACCCTTCTAGTGGGACAATAAAACATGTTTTATATGCAGAGGATAGCAGGCTATCAGTTCCCCAATAGTCTATTAATATAGTTAAAGAGACATTAGAACCACAAATGTTAAGATCATTGGTTCTATGTGTGGGTTTTTGGGTTCAGGTAGTAGAGGGCAATACTACCATTTTCATACATATAAGTATCACTCATTCATTTTATTCATTCATATATATTCATTCAGAAATCATTCATTCGTTTTAATGTTTAGTCCACAAATTTATTTCAAGCTTTTCATTGTGCTGATGCAAATAATTCAGCGATCCACAAAGATGACCCTTGCCTGCAAAAGTACTTTTTTTTAAGATTCATTTATTGATTTGAGAGAGACAGAGAATGAGAGCAAGGGGAGGGGCAGAGGGAGAGGGAAAGAAATCCTCAAGCAGGCTCCCCATTGAGTGCAGAGCCTAACCCAAGGCTCGATCCCAGGACCCCGAGATCATGTCCTGAGCCAAAATCTAGAGTCGGCCCTCAGCCGACTAAGCCACCCAGGCACCCCAGGGCAAGTTTTTCTAGAGAAAAGGTCTGATCTGAGCTCTGAAGGCAAAGTAGAAGTGAGAAACTTCTTTAAAGTTGATCCGCTAGCACAGCATGCTCACTTTGCTAAGGACAGCCAGTGTTTTGAAAACCTGGCTACGTGTTCTAAGCCTGAATTAGTCAGTATATTGTCACTGCTTTTTGGTTTCCCCTGGGTCCATGCCTGGTGCCCCGTATGGAAATAGTTAATAACGGGCATGTGCCTGCTTTCAAATTTCTAAACATGGTAGGTACACTGTGCCTCGGGACACTCAACTCTAAGCCTACAGGCTGAGAAGGGTGTGTGTGTGTGTGTGTGTGTGTGTGTGTGTGTGTGTAGAAAAGGACGTCAGCCTTTCTCAGGGCTCTCTTCCTGTGAGACACGGAGGCCTCTCCCACCTAGACTGGGCTGGTTCCCCTGGCCCCTCTCAGCTCCCTTACTTCCCGCAATCCCAGAACTCTTCCAGCACCAAACACCTGGTATCATCACAAGTTGCTGCAGAGCAGGTAGGTAAATAACAAGAACCATGATGCCAGCCTGCTGCGAAATACCTCCATTCCACCTGCAGGACAGAGAGCCGTGAACACACACGCCTGTGTACCGTATAGTGTTCCAACTGACCAAATGAATTCAAGCTTTAATTTCTTTTTTTTTTCTTCAGCCTACAAAAGGAAGTGCTAAGTGATATGGCTTTCTCTGTGCCGAGAGTTGACAGAGATCTATGGTTGGGGGGGGAAATGTGTTTTTATTTTTATTTATTTATTTATAAGTTTTATTAAAGTTCACCTATTACCCACAGGCCTCGGGCTCCCTATAGAGAAACAAATACCACAATTGAAGGAACGGGTTTCCAAGGCGCCAAATTAAAATAGATGAAGAGGTAAGGAGGGGAAAAAAATAAAAATAAAAATATTACACTAAGACTTCTTCACTCCCAAGTGCATAGTACCTTCTAATATATTGCACACATGAAACTGACTCCCAATGTAATTAGACCAGGGCTACTAGGCAAAAAAAAAAAAAAAAAAAAAAAAATCTTCAAATTATTCAGACCCCCAGAGCTATTCTTTTGTAATCACTCAAGTAACTGAGAAGAGAGCCAACTTTTTAATATAAATTTGTTATTAGAATCTACACTGTCCAAGCGACTCCCAACACCCCACCTGCTCGAGAATACAGAGTCATGAACTGGGATCAGAAGCAAAGGCAAGAGTCCTACTTCCCACCCACCCAGTGCCATCACCTTTTCTTCTACAGGACAATCCTAATGGAAACGGGACTTTATTCCAACAATGCTTAAGGGCCCACTGGCCCTGTTAGAAGAAACTGGAGAGTTCCTCGGGGCTGCAGAAGACAACACACTCCCTTTAGAATAAATTGCCTTGACAGCACTATGCACAGGCATGCCCATATGGACAGATACTAACTCTCTCGTTGCAGCCTTGTGCACGGAACAGCCATAATATTCTCCATCTCACCCCAAAGACCCAGGAATGGCTCTATTGCCTTCCAGGCTGAAAATGAGCCATGGAGATACAGAGAGCATCTTTCACTGAACTCAGAGGAGAAAGAAATAACCACTTTTCAAAAGAGGTGCTTACTGGATTTCAGCAATGCTGCCAGAACTTCGGTGGCTGCCCTGGGGAAAGAGAAAGAAAAGTGAAAAAGTCAATGTTCAATGGTCTTTTTGTCAGCCCACGGATCCCAAAGCCAGCAGGCTCCAATATCACTGCCACCCAACAGCCCCATTATTAACCAGGGAGCAGGCGTTCTGTTGATTGCACCACTGACCATTAAAGAGGCATAAATGCAGAAAATTGCTCCAAGCAAAGTGTCTGTCTTGAAAATGGGTCTCAGGAGTCCCCACTGCTGCTGAAAATACCTTCCCCTCCCCGTCCTGCCTCCCACCTTCCACCACCTTCCTTACACTACGCTCCTTGTATTTCTGTTGCTCATCCCTGCCAGGGCTCTTGTCAGTCTCTTGGTTTATACTCGGGAACCCTGGCGACTCTGGAGGATGGGCTGGGAGGGGGTGGACGTGAAGGCAGCATTACAGTGAAAACTTCTTAAAACACTCATGGCCCTGGGGACACACGGGAAAACATTCACACGCTGGAAAGCAATGCTGGTTCCTTGGAGGGGAAAATGGTTATGTCATGATTTTTCTGCCAAATTCATTGTTTTCTTCCATGGAAGAATTTCTGCCAAATTGTTTTATTCCATGGAAGAATTTCACAACCTTTGCGGCAGTGGGAGGCAGATAAGAATAAAAATGTCTTTGGCCCATGTCTTAGTGACCCTTTAGTCTGTGCCCTGAGCCTGCGAAGGTCACACAAAGACCCACTTTCTGGACAGAAGGAAACTTCAAGGTTAAAGACACAATGGCATGATTCTGGGAGGGAGAGTTTGTTGCCTGTTTGCCTTTTTTTTTTTTTTTTTTTTAAGAAAAGGAGTATTCTGCACAGTCCTAGTAACTTATCCTTAAGGCCTGTTGAAGAGTGATCTGCTTCCCCATACTCCCTCCCAACCCTGAGGATTGGGGGAACAGGTCAACGAGGCTGGGTCACCCTTCCAAGATTTCAGACATTAGACAGAGTGGGACCCCCACCCAGGAACCCCACTTCCCACCTCTGCTTCCTGCACACCTGTTATTCTCCTGAGTCTCCCACACTAGCCCTGCCCTGGCCGCTGCCTGCTTGATCAAAGACACTCCTCCTTGCAATATATTATCTAATACTGAGCAATAGAGCTGGCAGTAAAAATAAAGATAATGAGTTAAACTAAACTAAAATAAAATAAAAATCTAGCACTTAGACATCATGGCTTCCCACAACCAACAGAGGAATCCTACGGTATCAGTGGTCTGGGACTCACCAGCCTCAGGGCAAATCCATGGCAGGGGGGACCCCCAGCTCCGAGAGACCAGCACAACCACAGGGCAGTCAGCAAGAAGGTGAGGCTAGTTGTCACCGATGGGTCATGTCATTTGTCCTTCCCAATCATGTTTTCTTCTAATCACCTTTTGGCTTCTTCAGCCCCTCTCTTTTGTAACCCCACGTAATCTGGTAACCGTGGATTTAAGAAGGAACATATTGAAGGGCGCCTGGTGACTCATTCGGTTAAGCATCTGCCTTTGGCTCAGGTCATGATCTCAGGGTCCTGGGATTGAGTCCCGCATCGGGCTCCCTGCTCAGCAGGGAGTCTGCTTCTCCCTCTCCCACTGCCCCTCCCCCTGCTTGTGTTCTCTCTCTCTCTCAAATAAATAAATCTTTAAAAAACAACAACAACAAAAAGAAACACGTGGAAAGTGTTACTGAGAACCCCAAGGCAATATGCCAAATCTAGGAGTCACAGGGCGTAGGGCCTGGGTTGGGCTGGTGCAAAAGGAAAATCAGTCCTGGGGGTGTGGGGGGTAGTAGAGTAGCCACATCAAAGGGGTCAGAAGAGAAGGAAGCATGAAAAGAAAGAATGAGGATCTTCCGAGCAAAGTACCCAGCTTCGTCCTGGACCACAGGCCAGGTCTGTAAGGTGACCCTGCATTTCTGATCTGCACAGCACTTCTGTTTTGGGGGGTTCACTGCAGAGGTAATGATCCATTAGATCATAGTTTTACGAGGGACACATGAGAGGTGGGGAGGGGCAGGCAGACCAGTCAGGAGGACGTGAGGTGACAAGGGCAACAGATAAAAGGGTGGCATGGAGGGAGAATGGAGAAAGACGGGTTGAAGGACAGCTTGCAGCCTGGCTACTCAAAGCATGGGGCTCCCACCAGCAGCTCCACAGTTTCCCAGGAGCCAAGCAGAAGCATAGACTCTGAAGCCCCATCCCTGGCCTGCTGAATCAGAACTTTTAGTCCAGCAGATAATTCATATGCACATGGATGTTGGAGAATAACTGGTTTAGAGGACAGCGTCAGTATGGCTTGGTTACTCTCTGCTGTTGAGAAGATTCAAGGTGACTCCCAGATCCAAACCCTTTAGGAGATACCTAATGGCATATAAGAGCATAACAAATAACTATGAATCCAAACAGTCACATTATATGGCAGGAAACACACGGCAAATGTCATATTAGTCAAAGAGGTGAGGCTGATTCCTGAGTAACGAGAAAAGACTTCTTTCTTTTCAGCTCCTGATTGGGGATCAATACATCGTGCAGTGTGAGGTGCATTAGCACATAAGGTTTGAGACCCAGTGTTCTAAAGAGGTCGGATTCAAGTCCTTAGGTAATAAGTCACTTTTTTTTTTTTTTAATCAAAGGGGTATGGTGGGCGCCTGGGTGGCTCAGTTGGTTAAGCGACTGCCTTCGGCTCAGGTCATGATCCTGGAGTCCCGGGATCGAGTCCCACATCGGGCTCCCTGCTCGGCAGGGAGTCTGCTTCTCCCTCTGACCCTCCCACCTCTCATGTGCTCTCTCTCATTCTCTCTCTCTCAAATAAATAAATAAAATCTTTTAAAAAAAGGGGGGGGTATGGTAGCAAGGATGGAAAAGCGAGGTGAAGGTTGTAAGCAAAGTTCACAAGATTTGATGACAGACTAGTTGTGAAGAGCAAAATAAACAGTCAGTGATGGCCTGGAATGTTTAGTCAGGGTAAATGGGAGAAAAAGAAAGCCATTAATCACCTAAGGAAGGAAACTGAGGTGTTTAGAGAAGATAATCATTTTGATCTGGGACATGCTGATCTCAAGATGATGGGCACAGAGCTACATGGAACTTTTCAGAATCATGCTAGAAGCACAGATACAGAATTCTAGAGAGATCTGGAGCTGGGGATATATCCTCAGGAGTCACTACAGTAACAATGATCATAATGAAGCCACGGGAACAGGTAATATCTATGAAGAAACGCATCAGGAACAGAGTACAGGATTGGCCCCCAAAGCATCTATCCTAAAGGTCTCAGAGAATGTGCGGTCAAGGAGGTAGGAGGAGAGGGGGTGAGGGGGTTCTGCTTTGAAACAAAAAGTTCTCTAGATTTTCTAGGCACAGTGTTTTTCGGACTGCAAGTTGTGACCCAGCAGTTGATTGTAAAATCAATGTAATAGGTTTTGCCTAACTTTGTTAATGAAATTGTATCAACTGGAATAAAATAGATCAGAGTTGTTTCATGTAGGGAAGGTCAGCCGTGATCTGAGAAACTTTTATTTCAATGCACATACACACCTGTGTGCATACTGGGAATGTGATGTAAATGTTTTCCTTTTTTAAAAAAAGCTTATAAAAATGTTGTTTACGCTGTGAATTGTGTAATACTGATGAATCACAGACCTGTACCCCTGAAACAAATAATACATTATATGTTAATTTTTTAAAAATTAAAATAATAATAAAACACCAAAAGCACAAGAAAGAAAAGAAAATTAGGTAAATTGGAGTATGCCAAAATTTTAAAACTTCTGTCCTGAAAATGATAACCATCCAAAAGTGAAAAGATAGTCCACAGAATGAGCGGAAATATTTGCACATCATATATCTGATAAAAACCTTGTAGTCATAATATATAAAGATCCTTACAACTCAGTAATAAAAACACTAATTATCCAGTTTTTAAAAAAATGTTGTTTAATGTATAGTGTCCATATAAGATCTGAACAAAGAACAAACATTTGGAATCAACTAATGAAATGATGAGCAAACACAAAGTATTTGATCTCCCAGATGGTGGTGGGATCCAGGCACCAAGCCACTAATGTGAATGTCACTCCAAGGCTCTGCATTTTTGGTCTATCTGGTGGGCAAATGTCTAGAGTTCTGGTCCACTGTCTGAGCATATCTCTCTGCTTCTCTTCTGCTCTGTTGGTGTAACTAAGAATGTAAAACCCATCAGAAATGAGGTTATCTACTTTGTCAACTGGTGGCTATACATAAAACAAAAAAGCAAAAAATTTAAGCAGCTAAAGTCTAAATGAGTTAGATAATACTCAGTTACTTCTACTCCAAGAAACCAAGCCCACTGCATAGAGTAGGTGAACTGGGGCCCCAAAATTAGTGTCTTTGGGGTTTCGGACTGCCTCCCAATGCGTGTGGACACTCAGCACCCACGGCTCCAGTAATTCCTCTGATTCTATAGAAGAGGACTTTTTGAGAGGACTTATTTTCTCAAAGTTTAAACACATACCGTCACCCCATGTTGTTTGCACTCCCCATTGGGATATCCATGTGGGGTTGAAAGTAGAAATGCCAAAACGTCCTCCTCCATCAACATTCCTTCACTGTACCTCACTGAATGGGTTATGTAATAGATTTTTACAGAACATCCTGCTCCAAGAAAACTACAACACAATCCAAAGGCAAAGTGGCAAGCCTTCACCCTATCCATTTTCACAAGGGGGTAGGATAACTCAGTCAAGATGCTAGCAGTCAGAGGTCACTTCCACACTTCTCCTCAGAAAAAAGCTAAACTTAAACCACTGGGAAATTCATAAATATTCTTTTATCACGAATTGAGCAAAAAGCCACAGAATTTTAAGAATTTAATTTACTTCTTCAAGTAGAAATAAATTTAAAGAGCCTTCATACTAGTCTTCAGTAATTTGTCACCACTCTTTGGGGAGCCCATATAAATGCCAAGCCCTGTGCTAAGTGTCCTACGTACATGATTATACATCACAGTTAATCTTCACGGGAACACCAGATGGT